AAATTCTGATAGAAAATAATTTTCAACCTAGATTTCTCTACTAACTCAAGATATCAATAAATTGCAAAAAAAGAGGCATTTTCATTTATGTCAGGATCCAAAACCTTTACTTCCATTTTACCTTTTCTTAGGAAATCACTGAGTATTGCGCCCCAGCAAACTCACAGAGCAAACCAAAAAGACTAGAAAATCATGGGATCCAGGAAATAGGGAATCTAACTCAGAACAACAACAAGTCCCAGTATAACAGCTGGGCAAGAGAACCAATTAACAACCAGTCGAGACTGACACAGGGAAATATAGGTAGGAAACAAAACACAAAGAAATCTGCTGATTACTAAGCAGCTGTTAAAAAGAATGAGGCAGTTGAGTAACAGCATATTAACATCTACAAGACTCATCCCCCCACAAATAATAAACTCAGCACAAAAAATTTAAAGTTTGCCTTGCAGCAAAGAACCAAAAGCAGGCAGAAGCTACAGGGAAGTTAACACTTGGATGAAAGGTAATCTTTCTGTATTTATAGCTTTTTGCTAGAAAGTAGGTCTCAGTCAAATAGAAATCTGTGACGAACAGCTGTAGAGTTAGGGAGGACATCCATGAAAGGCGAAGTCCACAAAAGAGCAACTCAATGTTTTGCATACAAATACTCATTGAAGCCTGAACTACGCCTGTGAGAATAATACTCCAATCAACTAAGGCTAAAGGCTAAAAGAATTGAACAGAGATTTCAGCTGTCACCCAATGTAGGAGAACAGAATTTGGAGTTTGAATTCAACCAGGTCAGATGTTTATTAAAACAAAAACCCAACTATCTTCAGAGAGAGTACTATGGGAATAAACATGTCCCCCAAAATTTCATGTGTTGGAGACTTGATCCCCATTGTAACAATGTTAAGAGAGTGGAAAATCCGATTATGATATCTGAATGATGGGGACTTTAAGAGGTGATTGGATCGGAGGACTATACCCTTGTGAATGGATTAATCCATTGGCTTAATTGTTTAATGGGTTATTATGGGAATAGACGAGTGGATTTATAAGAAGGACACATGAAAGAGCTCTTGTCATTCTCACCGCGTGATACCCTGTGTTGCCACAGGATTCTGTCCAGAGCCCCCACCAAAAATAAGGCCCTTGCCTGATGTGCTCCCAGAACCTTGGACTTTCCAGCCTCCAAAACTGTAAGAAATAAATTTCATTTCTTTATAAATTATCTAGTTTCATGTATTTTGTTACAAGTAACAGAAAATGAACTAATACAGGGATAAAATAAATTCCCAATATATTTTTGGTAATGTCCAAGATGCAATGCAAAAATTACTGGGCATATGAAGAGAAGGAATAATATGACATATATTCTAAAGAAAAGCCCATCAGTATATATAAATTCTGAATTTCTCTGGATGCTGGAATTAGTGGGCAGGAATTTAAAGCAGCTATTATACTCATGTTCATAAAAGAAAATATTATTGTAATGAATAAACAAGTAGATATAGCTAAAAAGCCAATATATAAAAATTAAAACAGAATTCAAATAAATTATTCAAATAATCAAATAAGGTCTATAATAGAAGCAAGTTTGGTCTAACATTCAAAGTGCAATTCACTTCATACTTTTTTTTTTTTTTTTTGGCAGCTGTCTGGTATGGGGATCTGAACCCTTGACCTTGGTGTTATGTCACTGCACTCTAACCAAGTGAGCTAACAGGCCAGCCAATTTAATACATTTAAAAAAAAAATGATTATCTCTACAGATAGAAAAAAAATTTGATAAAATTTCTTATCCATTTATGACATAAACA